TCCTTATATCATCGAGGTTAAAGTAGTTACTTACCGCATTAGATAGTGCAGACAGCCACGTTTCAAGTTTAAGTAACGTAACGCTTCCGTTTAATGCAACATTTGTCCCCTTCTCCCTCTCCCCTTTTCCACTTCTTGCAAAATGGCAACAAAAGGGAAAAAACGCCACTAGTCTATTCTTGGAGTTTTGCCAACAATGTTTTTCGTTTATGGAATTCAGCATCAAAATTAATTGTAAATTTGAAAAGCTTTTATATAGATCAAATACTGATGTAGATGCAGAGTACACTATTTCATGTCCCAAGGTCACCACTCTCTACTTTTTTGTCAGTTTTAAGGTATATTTTCTGATTTGATTGTAGGTTTAGATTTTTTTGAATGAAAATATAAATTTTTATTTTTTCTTCTTGAAAATGAGTTGTCTTCATATTAAACTAGAAGCTGCACAGTGTATATCTGAAGAATCATTACTATTCGGTCATAAATGGTGCACTGTTTAATTTCAAAATTCTTGCTGGAAACTATAATTAAAAGAAACGTTGTTAAAAATAATTTTTAAGCTGCTAGGGCAGGCCTTGGTAACGAGGCCTCTTGGTCATCTTTAAAGACTTTACAACGAACAGCAGCTGCCAGATGTGGCCTCTTGCCCCGGGTTTTGGAATATTGTTCTGCCGTAGTGTTTCGTGCTCTTCATTTTATATCGCATATTCATTTTCAAATTAATCTGTTTGACATTATTTAGAATGCTGTCTCAAAATTGTATTTCAAAACCGAAGTTTGCCTTAAAATTTTGACGGTTATAATACCGGACTGTATTAACTGCTCAAACTGTAGCTTCACGTATGCTTCATTTCCAGTTAATTTTTGACCAAAAATGAATTGTCAAGCTAGCAGTTACTGTCTAGCCTCTGAAATTTTTATTTAAAACTACGTCTGTTGCAAAAATAAATAGCAAAAGAAAATTAGGTTATAGGAAAAAAAAAAATAATTGTTTTCAACGTTCGACGCTTAACTTTTACTACGTCTCTATCAAGTGTCGATTTTGACAGATATGTAGGCTATTCTGCTTTTTTTTTTTGTTAATCTGTCTTTTTTGCTTCTTTGTTTTTCTTTTACTTTATTCTAATATCTGTTGTCTTATTTATCCTTATTTATGTGCACTAAAATCATGGCGAAGTTGAAGACTCTAGCTTTCTTTAACCAAGTGAAGTTGAATATTATATATAAAAGCTCAGTTGTTCTCTGCAATTTTGTTGACGTGATTTGATCTAGAAAGTACTTTAAAAATTTTAACAGATCAGTTTTGTGTTAAAATTAATTTGTATTTGAAAACAATTTTTTCTAACTACTACAGATATGCACATAAAAAAACTGAAAATATAAAATTTTTCAATTTCTTATTTAGATGTGTAGCAGCAGTAATCATTCAGAAAGTTCAAGTTCTGCCGTAGATCTGTTAGGTTGAAAACAGTTGTTGGCCAAATATACATATAGATCTGTGAATGAACTGGTACTGTTGATGAACTTTACAGTCTAAAATTGCCAGACGTTCAAAACTGAGTTAGTATTAGGCCGTTATACTAAGAAGCGGTAGTGGTGTTGGAAATATGCACTTTGGTCAAGGACATAGTTTTAGTTTTCACTGTCTACTAGGGTATATTTTTCTATCTACTGGAGTTTTTTATAGAACTTTTTTTTCCAGTTCAATAAAAAATAAAAACCTTAATGTATATTTGGTCAACAACTGTTTTGAAAAGATAAACAGAAATACTATCTGAAAACCGAAAAGTTTATTTCGTTCAATGAAGGTTAAAGTCAAATAAGCAAGCCGAATGAGAGCGGTATTAGAAATGACTATATATAAAGCTCCTAAATACGCTATCGATCCATTCAGCTACTGACTAATTCCGTAGGCTGCCAGCCCAAATTTTTTGCTGTTATTTTACAACTAAACTAAAATTAGGATTAGATAAGGATTTTAGACAGATAATTTTTGCAGACGACATTTAATTGTGGCACGGAAATTAGTGTCATACTTGGCTTTATTTTTTTTTCTTTTGTTTTTACCTTGTTATTGCCTT